GTTACACCCTACTTTACTTTCCTCTTGATTGCTACGTGAGATGGAGACATGCATTGTAAAAGGAAGAAGAATCATCCATTCTATTACTTTGGTCGAAGATAACGCCGAGGGTATGATATGTATACATCATATACTTCCCAAAAAGTAACTTACAAAAAGAAAAAGAGAAAAAAAGATCAGAGACAAAAGCAAAAAGTTTTAAGACCCCCGTCTATTACAGTACATTTCTTTCTACTTTATACAGCCCCTGATCCGTTTCCACCGCCTCTGCCGCCATCTCCGTGAAGTAATAAGTGAGGTTTGATGAAATCCTCGTCCAGCTGTCTAAACAAGCTAGCCGGGTCTTCCGTCGAGAGCAATTGACGGAATGCCCCCGAGGCAGTTATCGGAGTAGAATTTGACGCTGGCTCGGCGGGACTCATGAAGGCGCTGCCCTCGGATCCTGGCGGGTTGGGGCTAACGGGTGGTCGAGGAGAGCGACGAGCAGCAGGAGGCGGCAAGTCTGATATGTCAATATCGCTACCAATGTCAGAATCTTCGGTGTTGGCTCGTAGGAGATCGGCTCGCTCGCTGTCGGTAGGGTTGCGGAGAGAGTTCTTGCGGCTTAGGGGGTTCGGCTTGACGCCTGTGTGAGGCGAGGAATGGCCGGATACATAGGCTGCGGAACTGTCTGCAGGCGCACTCAGGTTGTTCAGGGCGACGTTGCCATTGCGACGAGGGTTGTATCCTATAGCAGAGCCAGAACGTTTGATCTGAAGACCCGTGCCGAAGGATTCAATGTCAAACTCGTCGTCGCTATCAATCTCTTCAACCACGCCCGTACGGATACCGAGAATCTCCAACATGCGAGCGGTGGTTCCGCCAAAGATGATGACAGTCAGGACCACGACGACCAAGACGGTAGCCCGAAGGGCGAATGAGTTTTCGCCAGTGAGGAGGGCAGCCAGAGCCACACCGACGGCACCACGCAGACCAGCCCAGAAGAGCATGGCCTGGTAGTTGTATGGGAGCTCATCGCCAACTTCCAGGCCTCGTCTTCGCGCGCGATAGCGAATAAACCAGTTGATCGCCTTTGACAGAGGAAAGACAGCGACCCAGCGAGCAGCGCAAACAGCGCAGATGGTAACAATAATGAGGGGAGGCTCAAACTGCAAATGATTATCGGTGAAAAGGGCCAGACCGAGGTAAATGAAGATAAAATTCTCGGATAGCTGGGACATGATTTGGAAAATATATTTGGTGGTAAGTTGCGTGCGTCTCGACATGTTGAAATAGGCGTAGTGCTTCAGTGTGATGCCACAGAAAAGCAGTGACACGATACCTGTACATGGTTTAGTTTGTGCATTGTGCATTAAGCGATAGGGGAGATCTTACCAGACATATGTAGACCATGTGAAAAAAAGTAAGTAGCATACGCGATCAAAATGATGAGAGAGCTTTCAATCTTGGGGAACCTCCGTACGTAGGTAAATTTGAGCAGCAGAGCCGTACCGACGCCCACGACGACACCGATAAGCATACTGCTGAAAAAGACGAGCAAGAAGATGCCGGTACCCTCGAAGAAGCTGATGATGCCATAGTTGGCCTCGCCCTTGTTGTACTTTTGCGCAGTTTCGAAAATGACAATGGCGATGGCGTCGTTGAGAATCGATTCGCCAAAGATGATGGTGTACAGTTTAGGATCGACCTTGTACGTGTTGAAAATGGCCAAAATGGTGACGGGGTCGGTGGCGGAGAGGGTTGCGCCGACTGAAATGGCATCAACAAGAGTCAATTTCAAGGACCCAGGAACCAAGTTGAAGATCCACAAGATCAACCCAATAACGACGGCGGACAGAAATGTTCCAGCAAATGCGAATGTTAAAATGGTGCCGATGTTTCGGAAGAAGTTGGCTTGGTGTAGCTCGTAGCCGGAGGACAAGATAATGGGCGGTAAGAGGAGGTTGAAGAAGATCTGGTAGTCGAAGCTGATGAGGTTTCGGATGGAGTCGCCGGAAGTCATGAGCAGAATAAGGCCGACGACCATTCCTGTGGAGGGAGCAAACATTAGCAAAGAAGCTCATTCTTGGGTTGAGCACGGTGCGCTCGAACCTGCAAAGATGGATATGACTGTCTCATGGATCGCTGTCACCTTCTTCTGCTGGAGCATGTAGCTTGTGAAGAAGGCGATGATGAGCAACATGATGGATATGAAGAGAGCCCATGCTGCGAAGAGCTCTTTCTGCGCGGAATCTCCTTCTACATGTCATCGTCAGCAATTTTGTAACATTTAATCATATTCCTTTCCTGTCGCTCTTATTCGTATTGTATATTCGTGCCTCCCTCCCTCGTCTTGCTCTTTTTCGGCATCGTGGGGTGAATTTACCTTCGGAATCGTCCTCTTCAGCCTCTCGCCCTAATCGTCGCAAGTCAGTCTATCTGGCGCCCAAGACTTGTCGCGTAACAAGGCAATCAGACTCACGCAAGAGCTTGAAGCCCAAGTCGGCCAGCTTGGTGGCGGCCATGGTGGCCATGGTGAGCGATCTGGACGGCAGATCTGGACACGATCAAGGTGGGAGCGAAGTCGTTAAGTGGTGGAGTATGCGCGAGCCCAGGCGAGGCGATGCGGACATGGATTCGCAGGCCAGAGTCGCGGCAGACCGGCGGTTCGATACGGCCCGTTGGTCGCGAGACACGGGAGACGAGGATGGCTGGCGATGGTGGATGAAGATGGAGAGAGTTGCGATTGTGGCCAAGGCCGCCAGAACAATTCTTGTTGCAGACTGCATGTACCTTGGTACCATGCCATGCAGGCAGCCTGGATATCAGACACGCAGCGATGGCCAAGATCTGGCCGGGCGCTCTAAGCCCTGTAATTGGCGCTGGCTGCCGGTGGATTCGCTAGCTGCAAATGCCCCTAGCGCGGAGGTTTAGTGGTGATGACGAGTCCGTCGCATGTGCTGGGCGGGTTTCAGCTCTCTCTAGATGCTGTTGTAGCATTGATCGAATTCAAGGTTATTATTGGAAACTAGATTGACAGCCTACAGAAGAAAAAATGCGCCATCATGTGCAGTTCAAGCCAAGGAGATGACAGAAAACTATAGCCGCGTAGCCACGTCTTCTGCAGCAAATCCAGGCGCCTCGATTACTATTGAAGGGTATTGACGTGTAACATGTTGGCACTACCACCAGCCAAGACGGCAATGCGGAAGACTGCTCCCAACAGTATAAGTGGGCTCATACAGGCCAATAACCACATAACAAATAACATCTTCTGAGCAAGTTGATGACCGAATCAAACTGAGCAGCAGATAAGCGGATGTGGTCAACTTCTAATGGCTCACATATATGAACGAGACACGTTAAGTACCAAGATTAATGAGCATTGACGTTGACCTACCTGGCAGTTTCCAACCGATGTCTTTTCTTTTGGCACTTACAGCCACACGTTCGTCCATATGTACACTCAGCATTCCAATTTTATAACGAGGTTGAACTGATAAATAAAGTACATATGACAAATGTCATGGCAGTAAATCAGCTGCGAATACTACAATCCGCATGCAGCATTAATTGTTTGCCAGTGGCGGGGCTCTTCGGCGCCTGGCGCGGGGTGGGGAGACGCTCTCGGGGCCGCTCAAAAAAGGAACACGGGCTTTCGTCGGGCCAGCATCTGGTGACAGGCCTGGTTACGGCCATCCATCGCATCAGCTTCCCACCAGCAAGATCCAAAGCCAATTCGTGGCGCCCCTCGAGCTGTCGCCTTATTCCCTGCTGCCCATGGCCGGTTGCTGTTTGTTGACCAGCAATTCTATACTCCTATAGCCTGCCAACTGGGCGCTGAGTAAAGGAGCCAGCTTGTCACTGCTCGGCTTGCGCGATCCGACCTCGAATCCATCTTCAGCCTCTTCTACATGATTTAGAGTAGAGCTTTGCGAAGCTTCAACTCCCTAACGATGTACCATCTTGCCAAAGGCCTCTATATGTTGGCGACAAGTAAAGAAGGTTAGTTGATCATCTCTTGCTTAGCGCGCCTCACTTCGACAATGTCTCACGCCGTATCCAATCCTTCCCCCGTCTAATGCAGCATCTTTTCGCATATAGAATACTCCGTCATCCTCCTCGGCCTCGACAATGCCGGCAAGACGACCTTCCACGAACAGGTCAAATCCATGTACCTCCCCAATGCGCCCGAGCCGAAGCTCAAGACGGTCCCCACTGTCGGCCAGAACGTCTCGACCATAACCCTGCCAGACATGTACATCAAGCTGTGGGACGTGGGCGGCCAGCACTCCCTGCGCAAGCTGTGGCAGAGCTATTACGCCAGCTGCCATGCCATCGTCTTCATCATCGACAGCACGGACATTGGCGACGGCGATCTGGAGCACGAGAACACCGGCCGCCTGGACGAGTGCAGGCTGGTGCTGGAAGACGTGCTGCAGCACTCGGAGACGGAAGGCGTGCCGCTATTGATATTGGCGAACAAGCAAGACAGGGAGGACTGCGTCGAGACGATCCGGATCAAGGAGGGGCTTGTGAAGCGGGTCATGGAGGGCGAGAAGGGCAGCGCCATTCGCGACTCCCGGGTGCTTGCCATGAGTGCGCTGACGGGTGACGGCGTGAGAGAGGCGATTGATTGGGTGCGGTCGAGGGTTCAGTGGAATAAGGAGTCGAGGCCACCTGTCATGAGGTAGCGAACGGGTGTTACTTTGCGATACGTACGGCATGGAAGAGAGGAGGGGAATCGACTGATTTGGCCCCTACGGACGGAGTATGAAAGCTGTATCATATGTGAGGGGTTGCGAGGCGTTTTTTGGTTGGATAGAAGCTGGGTCATGTTCTGCTCTTTATATCTGGTCATCATATCATGGCGAAGCTGGGCACATTTATCAGCGGAAAACTTCTTTTAGGGGTATCATGCATTTTGTTTGCCTTGTTTCTTTGTTTCTATTCTTGATTCAGATTTTAACGTATAGATCATATTAGTATTGCCCTTCTTTGTTCTTCTCTGCGTATTATTTTCATCTCTCGTTCTCTGCAGATAATTCAGCCATCAGGCCACCCTTGTCTCGCCTCTTCGCATCCTCTGCCAGCCTCGCATCAACCAGATCCGTAAACTCCTTTGACTTTGCCAGCGCCGTCTGGGCGCACTGGATTATCAACGTAGCTTCCACGGGCTTGCCTCCCAACTTGGAAATCTGGCATATCTCGCCATGCTTGTTCAGACTAAACGTCACGCTGCCCACCCGCAGCTGTTCTTCCAGCCATGTCGTGTCCACCATGACAATCTCGCCGTCCTCACCAAAGAAATCAAACGTCGTACAGAACGGAGAATGCAGCCAGCTCAACGGCACGGGCTCGCGCTCCGCTGCTGTGTAGATGGTGAGCGTCTCGCCCTCTATGCTAGTGTCCGGTCTTCGAAAGTGCCTCAGGGCGGCTACAACAGCCAAACATGAGCTGTCGATGAGGTTGCCGTCGGCGGATAGAATGTGCAAATCAACTCTGACGGACCAGCATTTCTGGCCGGCGATGAGACAGAGAGACTCAGTGTCCAGGGCCCCTGATCTCCGGACGGTCTTTTCGAGGAGTCTGGCGAGTAGGACTTCGATCTCGGTTGGCCGGTTTACCTCGAATGAAGGGGCGACCATGGGGCCGAGCTCTGATGTGATTTGAAAGATGCCATCAAAAGGCCGATCAGAGAAGGGGACTGTGACTTCTGCTGATACCTTGGCCAATACCCTGAACGAGAACCAAGTTAGCAATTCAATTCTGTTTTCTGGTTTTTTTTTCCTTCTAATTAATATTAAGAAATTTGACCTGCGTTGGGCCTACCTTGTTTTCCCTAGCTTTACATCTGCCACGCCGTACTCATCGCCAAAGCTGAGTTCCAGAGGTCTAAACTGGTCGAGTTTTCGGCTGTCCAGTCGCAATCCCTCACTAATGGCCTGAAGGGTAAATGTCCGTTCGCTTAATGAAGGCTCTGCTTCTCGAGGCATGGTGATATTTGGTGTTTTATGATATTTAGTTTGGAAGCTAGTAGTTTCTTTCTACCTTTTTAGAGTTGGTGATATGAGATCTCAGTGAGAGCCTATCTAGGACGCCACTGAAAAATTCTGCCGGGCGGTGTGCATAAAGTCGGCCTGCATCCAAGCTGCTACCGCGACGTAATTGAACGACAACGCGTTTGCGACTTTTCCTAATCACCCAGCCTATACCATTGTTCAGCGTCTTTTGTTGTTAAATAACCTACAAAGATGACTACCGCTCATAGACCTACTTTCGATCCCGTGAGAATCTATGCCCCTAGGTACGAAATCGCAAACAGCAGTGCTAACGTAGAGACATCAGGCTCGAGGCAAAGAGGCCCTGCGCGGCCCTGCCTATCACCAGCGACTCCTACCAGCTCACACCCAGCTCAAATACCGCAAAGCCGGACAGGGCGGCGATGCCGACGACGAGCCTTCGCGCGATCTCGCTGCCGAGCTTCTTGCTGCCGAGGCAGCCCACTTCAAGAAGAAGAACGGCGGCGTCCTGGCCCCTGAGGATGACGCAGATGAGGATGCAGAGGTGACATCAGTGCGAGGAGAGAAGAGACCGCTGCAAGGACAATCTGCGAATGGCGATGAAGATGGAGAGGAAGATCTAGAAGCGAAGAGAAGGAGGATATTAGAGGAAAGCAGGGATATCGATGCAGACGAATCCAGTGAAGAAGAGGAAGACAGCGACGAAGAGGAGGATAGTGATGACGATGAAGATGCGGAGCTACAAAGAGAATTGGAGAGAGTACGGAGAGAGCGTGAAGAAAAGAAGAAGAAAGAGGTAGCGTCTCTTCAGTTCAAACTTTTGGAGGAATATATAGTTGCTAACCACAATGTCTTTTCCCGGAATATAGGAAGAAGAACGAGCAAGAGAAGAGCAAGAAGCCCGAGAACGAGACATTGCGCTCGGCAATCCCCTCCTCAACAAGCAAGACTTCACCATGAAGCGCCGGTGGGACGATGATGTAGTGTTTAAGAACCAGGCGAGAGGGACGGAAGATAAGAACAAGAAGAAGGAGTTTGTAAATGTGAGTTTTGCTTGTTCATCATCCTTCATTATTCCTACCTACTAACGCTTATCCTTAGGATATGCTGCGTTCTGATTTCCATAGACGGTTCATGGGCAAGTATGTTCGATAGAGGGTAACGGCTTTTGTTTGAAATATCCAGGATTAGCGAAGGGCAAGATTTTCTTTTAGTCAGTTTACCATATCTTTTCTTCTTTTTATTCTAGAGACTTAGACGCCATCAATATACACCAAAGGCCTCTTCATTTATGGGAGTATACATCTATTGGCATCTTTTTTTGGAAGCACATCTCCTTTTTTCCCCCCTCAATGCTCCTCCTCCGCAAGCAACCTACCCTCCATCTCTTCAAAAGCACCCAACACCTTGCCATACTTCTGGTACGTTCCCTCTCTATACCCAATATCCACCTTTTCAATCGATCCCTCCTCCGTCCACCGCTTCCCAATCAGCTCGTCAAATGTCTCGCCGTCCTTCCTCTCCAGCGCCCAGAGCGCCTTATACGCACCTCCCAAGGCACATGCGTTGCCTCCAACATCGAGCTTGTACACGCCGTCCGCTCCGCCGAGGACCTCGCCGAGGACTTGTGTGATGGCCGGGTTCAAGGATCCACCGCCGACTAGGTAGATGCGGCGAGGCTGTTCGGGGAGGCTGTCTCGCGGGCTGTAGACGAGTTTCTGGGAGCGAAGACGCATAGAGAGGGCTTGGGACTCGACAATGGCACGGGCGTCGGTTTCCTTGGACCAACCTTCTGTTGATTCCTTCAGGTCGCTGCCATCATTGTTGCAAGTAAAGCGCCAGGTTCCAGCGCGGATGTTTGGTACGGTTTCTCGAAGGTAGAAATAAAGACCAAGCTTGGCACGGTCACTCTCGCTTCTCACGTCCAAGGGGGGCGTATCCAGCACAGCTTTGTTGAAGTTCTCCCAGCCCGTTGCACCGCCTTCAGGTTTAGGCAGGGTATCACGAACTTTTTCACGAGCCAGCCCACCGTTCTTGTAACAAAGCATAAACATGTAGTTGCCGGGCGTTGTAGGATGGTTGAAGAAGTGATATGAGCCGTCGGGCTTATACGTAGGCGTATTCATGAGGAAAGTGGTGGATGTTCCCAGAGAAACAATGGCGTCGAGAGGGCGCAAGGGGAGAGCCAGGATCGTGGCTGGGTTATCGCCTGTGAAGGAGACAATCTGGCATTCCGGGCTGAAGCCGTACTTGGAGACAAAGTACGAAGAGATGGCGCCCATGGAGCCTCCGCCGTCCATTCGCGGCTCGCCGAGTTTCTTGCGCAGATCGGCTGCGCCTTCGGGTCCCGCTGAGAGGGCAAGCAGGCGCTCGCTCCATGCCTGGTTGGGAATGTCCCAGAGGTTCATGCCGCAGACGTCGCTGACATCGAGGGGGGCGATGGCGCCCATGAGGACAGAGGCGAGCCATGAAGACACCAGTGATATCCTCGTTGAGTTTGCGTAGATTTGTGGCAGGACTCTTTTGATCCTCATAATCTGAAGTCCTGTGAATCTCTGATTTAGAAGGTTTTGTCAGCATCTCATATAAGGAAAAGGGGGTCATCTTCTCTCATTCCAACTTACATGATGAGCACCACTTCCCGTAACCTCCGCCAACTTCTCCCGATCGCCCAACTCGGCGTCAAACGCCTCCAACTCCTTCTGCGTGCTATGATCCTGCCAGTTCGGCGCAAACTCATGCGCCAGCGACTTCTCCAGCTGCTCGACCAGAGACTTGGCCGGGTCCAAGCCCCGCAGCAGCTCTTCCGCCTGGGAGTTCCAGAAAACACTGCCATGCTGCTGGCCAGAGCCGCTGATGCCCTTGACTCTGCTCATGGGCAACGGCGCCATGGCCTTGGACAGGCGCTCCAGCACGAGGTCGAGAGATTCCAGCCATAATGCGACGGGGGCGTAGACCTCGCCGGTCTGGTCCTTGACGTGGACGCCCTTTTGGATGCCGTATTTTGCGCCAAAGTCCTGGTCAAAGTCTACTTTTGCCTCGGCGACTGTTTTGAGGTCGGTGTTGACGACAATGGCTTTTTGATAGTTGATTGTGTTAGCCGAGGTGACTTGATGAAGCGTCATATAATTTGCTCAATTCCGCTTACCCTTGAGTTGCTGGGTTGAAAGGTCAAAGCCCAGATATAGAGGGCCGTTGTCTGCACTCATAGTCGCAGATTTGATCCCTGAGGTTCCAATTTGTGAAGAGTGAGTGTATTCCCTCGCAACGTGTAGACCGATGATACTTGGTGAGGGGATGCTATTAATGCCAGATGTAAGTATGAAGTTTGAATATGTACTAATGGTATGGCTTATCACAACAACAACCAAATAATTGAACTGGAAGAAATTTCAAAGTAAAAAGTTTAGCGTTTATGAAAAACGAACAAAAGATAAATATGTCGCATCCACGACGTAATTGCCACACCACTACAAGCTGCCTCGTTACATATAAGCATATATCAACAGCTATCCCATGATCGCTGCTAGGAGGAGAGGTGGAGAAGCGCCTAAGCGTCCCTCCGATTACTCGGAGCAAAAAATACTAAACGATTAGGCTAAAGTGGTAATGATTTGCAAACAGTTTTTGTGGAATTTAACCACCGCTGTGGTTTAATTCAGGGTCTTGAAATCATCATTACATTTGCTCTACTCTTCAATAACTGGGACTCGGTATTAGCGCCTCCGTCTGTATTTGGTGCGGTTATGGTAGACGTTATTGTACTTGATTCAAGTGGATTAAGCAGGGTCTTTGTTATCGGCAATTTAGGCTAAATAGCGCTTTATGTCTCTTCTACTTGGTGGTGCTGCGGGTTATGGGGCGTTTTATGAGACAAGGCAGAGTATAGTGTACCTGTTATAGAGCTAGCATACTATCCGTAATCTTGGGACTACTATCAAGGCCTGTAATTTGCTACCACGATGAAAATGGAAAATAGAACGAATAGAATATGACAAGGCTCGAAAGCTGGAACAAATATTTCCTTCCACTTGTTTTTCGATTTGGCTTTTTAGAGTATTTACCAGGAATGAAGATAGAAGAGTGAAGAATCACAGCCTCCTTGTGTCAACATAGAAAGACGGCTCGACTAAAAAGGTTCGACTTGTCAGATCATGAACTCATAAACTCGTTTACCGGGAGAAAGAAAGGTAGCCTGCAAATGATATTCAACAAGACGAAGACAAGAAGAAGGCGCAAAAGAAAAAAAGAAAAATTAGTAAAAAAAAAAGAAACCAAATTCTCTTCTTCCTCAGAAGGGGTTTGAACTTGACCGAGACAGGGGTCGAACCTGCAACCTCCTGATGTACTTGATCGTAGTCAGACGCTCTGCCATTGAGCCACACGGCCATTGAATTGTGACTGACAACCAGCGCCAAGTGCTTCAAGAACGCAGCGACGCCGTGAGAGCCACCTGGGAAAAGGACAGTCTAGGCCGAAGCTCTCTCGGCGCCTGTATAGCAGATACAGCGAAGTAGTAGTAATGGTAATCATTCAACAATGAGGTCTGATACTGTCATATGCAGGGCTTATTTACAAGAGCGAAAATACCAAGGGGGAAACGAGGTTGCTGTATCTCTAATCTTTGTGTTTGTGGTCATGGTCATGGTCATGATCGTGGTTGTGCTCCTCCTCTTGGTCTGATTCCTCGGAAACACTTGCCCGAGCGCTGCCCGGGATGAACTCATCAAACTTGTGGTTGACATCTCCATCGCGGGACACAAATCGCACGCGAATGCGCTTCACTCCGCGCACCCTTCCTCCTACCAGGGTGCGAACGGCGTCTTCCAGGTCCTTGACGTCGTTCACGGTCCATGCGCCAGGCACAGCCATCTCCAGGTCGACCAGGTAGTTGGGGCCAGATTTGGTTCCGATGATGTCTCGCAATTCGGCTTGGTGTCCTTCGCTGACGTTGGCAATGGCCCTCTGCGCATGCTTTCGAACCGATGATTTCACCTCGTCATCCAGGCTCTGGTCTATCAGCTCCAAGAAGGCTGCTTTGGAGTTGCCCAGGCCGGCTTGGAGCACCATGATGGAAATGAGCAGACCACCGACGGGATCTAGCCAGGCGGCATTCTCGATTACGTTGGCACCGATAATCGCAAAGAGCGTCACGATGCCCGTCAAGCTGTCGATGCGATGGTGGACGGCATTGGAGGCGAGGACAGACGACTTGCGCTCGCGCGCAACCTTCATAGCTGTAGAAACATGTGTTAGAAACTTGCCAATAGAAAGAGAAGGCTTTTGACATACTGGCTTGGTATAACCATTCCTTGACCAGAATCGTAGCCGCCGCGAGCCAAGCTGCGTGTATGCTGGGAATGCCGAGATCTGCGTGACTGTGCGAGTGGCTGTGTCCATGGTGGGCGTGCTCCAGCATGTGATGCGCCGTCTCCGGGTCCCAATGACCGTACAAAGTCATTGCACTCTCGAAGCCCATGTAGCAGCCGCCAACAAGGAGCATGCCAGACACGCCCAGCGCGCCCAAGCTCTCAACCTTGCCAAAGCCTAAGGGGAAGCGATCGGTCGGCGGCTTGATGCTCCACGAGACGGTCGCGAGCGTGAGGATGTCGGAGGCGAGGTCGGCGATGCTGTGCCAGCCGTCGGCAATCATGGCCTTTGAGTTGAATGCCCAGCCACCGATGAACTTGGCAATGGCCATGGTCAAGTTACTGAGCAGGCCAATTCGCGTTATGCGCACGCCGGGGTCGTTCTTGTCGGCCGAGGTGAGGTAGGAGTTGTCGTGGTGGTGGTGATGGCCAAAGAGGCCGTGGCTGTGGCCGTGGCCATGGTCGTGATCATGATGGTCGCTGTGATCGCGTGCTTGGCGGGCGGCGCCCATGATGAAGGGCAGCGAGCGGATGCGGCCGCGGAAGACGGGGCGGAGGAGGAGCACGGAGCTGCGCGCCGAGAGGGTGTCGGCCAGCGCAACGTAGCAATTGGACTTGGCCGACAGCGAAAAGGGCGGCACGATGGAGGTCGGCGACGACAGCGTCTGGAGGGCTCTGGCGGTGCAAGGTTGGCGTTGACGTTGAGGTGTCCTCAGCTGGTGCTGGAGGCTAAATGACACTGGCACGGCCAGGGCGCGGCGCTGGCCAGCAGCAGCCGCCCCAGAGCCGCACCGCACGGCCAGGCCCGTGGAGCGCCTGGCCTGAGCAGACATGCAGACGCAGCGCCTTTTGTTTCACCCGTTTCAGACGGAGGGGACGACGAGATTCAGGGCCGGGCCGCACGCAGACATGAGATGGGATGGAGGCAGGACGAGATTTGTTTTGTTTAAAGCGCTGACCTTTTCTGCCTCTTCCTGCTGCAGAACCGGAAGAGAAGTGGTCGGAGAGAGGACGGCCGGGTCCGTCGTCCGGAGACCGAGTTCGCCGCGTCAGGCCATTCGCTGCCCAGGCAGGATTTAATGGATTGATGTTCCGTCGGCAGCGCTGCCAGCGGGCTGTTCTGGCGAGCTTAGCGCTGTGGCTACGGGGGCATCGCCCGCCGAAGAGGTCCTCTGACGTGCGTTGGATTGCTGCGCTCAAGGCGCATTGATGTAATGGTGCGTCTTCTTTGTCAGCCAGTCCGGCGCCTTGATCGGAGATCGATTGGGGCACGATCGGATGGGACGTTGTTTATTATTAGATAATCATCCAGCATCGACAATGAAGTTGGTTTGATTGATTAGTTGCAACTAGGCCGCAGCTAGCCAACGACGGCGCTGTCCAAGAATTGCGCCCAGCATCATCCATTCGCAGCTTCAGAGATACCGAGCGTGCCAGAACCCACCACAGCTGCTTCGCAACCTCGCTACTCCTCAGCAAGCAAGCAAACATACATAACAAGCACACGCATCTCACAACATCACTTTACCCAGGTACCATACGAGAGTAGTCAAAGCAGATACCGACAAAAAGGGTGCTGAGCAGCCATCAGCCCTTATGCCAGCGCTCCAATGCACAAACCGTTGATGCGAATCCCTTACACTGACATCCTCCCGTCGCCAACAATCATCCCAGCCTCGGCTCACTCGCTCACCGGCGCTCTCACTGCTCTCCACAACTTTTTCACTGCTCCTCCGCCCAATCAGCTGCCTACCTCTGCCGTCGTGCTCACGGGTGCTGGACTCTCCGTGTCATCGGGGCTGCCTGACTATCGAGGAATCAATGGCACGTATCGAGTGAATAAGACATATCGGCCCATCTACTACAATGAGTTTACACAAAACCACGAGGCTCGAAAAAGATATTGGGCAAGAAGCTTCCTTGGGTGGCCTAATCTTCTCAAGGCAAATCCAAATACGGGACACTACGCTATCAGGGATTTGGGGGAGATTGGGCTGATCAGTGCCGTCATTACTCAGAATGTTGATTCGTTTCATCCTAGAGCTCATCCCCGGATACCCTCGCTCGAGCTCCATGGCTATCTAAGGTCCACCAAGTGCACTACCTGCCATACCGAATACCCGCGTGAGGATTTCCAGCGCCACCTTGCCCGACTTAACCCTCGCTGGGCAACTTTGCTCCAAGAAGCAACGGCGTCGGGAGCTCTCAATACCGAGGATCCTGAGGAAAAGAAGTTCAGGGGCTTAAAAGTCAACCCAGATGGCGACGTTGACCTTCCCGATGCGCCTTACACCACATTTAGATACCCTCCGTGCCCTCGATGCTTGGCCGACCCGCCGATCAAAGCAGAGGGTTTCAGACATACAGTCAGGGCAGACAGCGATGGTGCATGGATACTGCCGAGCACAGCTGGCATATTAAAGCCCAATGTCGTCATGTTTGGTGAAAATATCCCCAGCCATGTCCGCACAGCCGCTGAAGATGCCGTCGATAATGCCGGCAAGCTCCTTATCCTTGGGACTTCGCTTGCTACTTATTCGGCGTGGAGGTTGGTCAAGAGAGCCAAGGATAGGGGCATGCCCATCGCCATCGTAAATATGGGCGGAGTGAGAGGAGAGGACCAATTCTTTGCCGACCTGGACCCTAGCCAAGCCGGTGAGCTTGCTGTAAGAGTGGAAGTATCGACGGATGAAGTTCTCCCGGCTCTGGTCTCGCAGCTTCGTCAGAAGCTAGCATCAAGCGCATTGTCTCACAATGCCTCGATCAGCAATGCTTCGCAAGAGAACTCGTACGCCTTCAAAGATATGCTCTCTTAGATTATCGTAGATACTAAAAGAAAAGCCGCCCTAAGACGTGGCGCATCGCTCAAAAGAAATTTCCAAAACTGGCCGTCTTCGTCTTCACAGGTTGCTCTGGGGGCGGCTGCTGAGAAGCGCTCTCGGGTTGGCTTGTCGTCTTAATCTGGGCTTCCGTATGCTTCTGCTTAGGCTGCTTCTCGGGGTTTCGAGATACTTCATCGCGCTCAATTGCTTGCAATACTTCATTCCCAGCCGATGGTTAGCTATTAAACTGATGCATAGCCATTGGTAGGACACTCACCCTCTTCCCATTCTGTCTCTTTCTGGGGATCACCGGTACCCAAAATCCTTTCTACATCAACATCTTCTCCGTTCTGTATGCGCTGGACCACTTCTCGAAGCTGGGCAATCCGTAGTGACGACTGTCGCATGTATCGATCCGTCTGGTGTCGCAGCGCAATCATTTGAATAGACATTGATCCGATAAAGAGAAACATAACAATAAAATAGGTGGCCGGGTTCCAGTCCTTCTTCTCCGTCGTCTTCAGCTTGCGGTTCGCCCTGCGCATCGGCTTGGGGATAAGAGACTTCCAAAAGGATCCTTCAACGATATTCACTGGCTTCATTTGCGCTGTACTAGCGAAGCGCAGCCCTGGTCTTGCATGCACAAAGCCATTGGTAGCAAGAGCTGCTGCGCTTTGCCTTCCGGCGTAAAAGAGAAGCCGCTGAGAGGATGCCATTTTCGCAGTCATGGGCATGTTCTCTGGATGTTAATCTTTTTAGCTGTCGTAAAGTCTTCCAGGTATTCTAGAATCCGGGGAATTTTAATCGGATCTCCGAAAAGCGCCCGACTGATCCCGGCCAGTTGCCCTAGACAACCTCCGATGTTTAGCCGCTACAACACTAAACCCAACATCCATGTTCACCAAATACACTGATCGTCAGTTAATGATTAGGCTCACGCATTCATTTGTATAATCGGCCTTGCGCCACATGGCAAAACCTCTTTTTGGATTGGTTCTTGGGACATTGAGATGATATGATTAACAGCTCTCACCAAAAGTTAATCTAGATGACTTCTTTACAAGCAAAAGTCGACGCCGTCAAAGCGGCAGTCTCGTCGACGTCAACATGCACGCCAGCAACCGTCGTAGCACTCAAAGAGCTGCTGCTCCCAGATTCCGAGCCACTGTCTTCGAGAACAAAGTCCGCTGCTGCTCTATCTACGAAAGCGACGTCTTCTGCGCGAACGAAAAACGGCGCCGGAAGAGGTAATGCCTCCAGCTCACAAACCGAAACTCTGAGCTCCCGCGAGAGAGCTGCTTTGGCGACCCATGTCATCAACGTAACGCTCAAGACCCTGTCCGAAGTAGCGAAGCCTCCAACACCTTCGACACCTTCGAAGCAAAATGGCGACCTTCGAGAAGCAGCAGGGAAGCAGTCAATCCGAAGATCTCTGTCTGCACCGCTTTCTCCCGTACAGCCCAGGGCACTAAATCGTGCGGTTGCGTCTTCCAATAGTGAGGCGACTCTGACGAAACCACCCGCGCCGGCCCAATCGACGGGATGCCTTGCTACAGTAGAGTGTGCACGTGTTGCATTTGGTGCCCTTCGATCCCTCAAAGGTCTACCAAAACCTGAAGAGGCGGACTTTCAGCTAGAGACGGGCATGTCTGCGCTGGTAGGGAAGTTGCTGGGCCTGGGGATGCATGATCAGGCTCTTAAGGAGCTGAGAGTACTAAAACGAAGGCTGGACAGTATAATTAGCGGGAAACACTCGGCGAGTACGAAGGGCGGGCCCGAAACGACCAGCACCACCGCGGTAATCGCCGATTTGTTGAATTTCCAGAGCGCCATCGCGAAGCCTTGCCTTGCGACCATCACAGGCTATCAGATGCAGGTTTTGAAGTTGATTGCAGCGACCAAAAAGCCGTCTCACATCGAAGCCATCCTTCCCTACCTTGGCGATTCATATGCCTCGTCCCCATTCAACCTCCTGTCTGCTCTCGCCAAGGATGGGGCGAAGGAGGTTGCAAAGGCAGCTCGTCAAATGGCGTCCTTATCGCAGATTCTCTTGTCCCTTGCGCCGAGCATTTCTAGTCAAGAAGATGCAGTAGCTATCGAACCACGCCTAAGCCCATCTCCTAGCGCCGCCTTTGAGTTACAGTCTTTGGCTTTCCGGATACAACTGAAGTGGTGGAAGCTAGCTAATCATCAGGGACATGTCGACAGTGACCTGCTCTCGCCCTTCTCTCGCTGCCTACGAGCTTACACCCGACGGCAAAAGCTAGACAAGGGTCCCGTTTACCAAATAATATCCGCATCATTCGACGCAATAATGCAGCTCGTTCATTCCCAAAAGTATCTCCCGGAAACATCATTCAACTCGCCTCTAGCATCAATACACCATATTTTAGGATCCGCAGCGCAAGCAGAACGACGATATGCCGAAGCCCACTGTTGGTTCCAAAAATTGAAAGGCTCTCTGGTCACAGGGCAAGACTCATCTGTTCTCAAGTGTGCAATCTCTGCGCGCCTCCTTGCTGTTGCGCTGAAGAAAGCCGACCTGGACCAAGATGTCGAGCCTCTCCTTGTCGAGGTCATTGAAGGGTTGGATGGAAGTCTAAGTGGAACCATGGCGGAGCTGAACGAGCTTCTCGAAAGCCTTTCGCTGGCAAGGCGCTCCGTCGTCGGCCTCTTGATGACATGTATAGGGCCAAATGCGCCGAAAAGCACTGTTTCGAGCTCTCTCACAAATTATCTAAAGACCTTCATACTCAAGTATCCACGGTTTGTACGCCGATGGATGGGGCTGCCTCCAGGCAAAGACGTGCCGCCTAAGCATATTCTCCAGTTCGATGAGCGCCGGCAGCTCGTCGCACAATCCTTAGGCCAGACTCTTGACGCTACCCTGATGGTCATCAAGTGCGATATCCAATCCGAAGAGAGCGGATGGCAAGCCGTCGACGATGTGCTTCAGCACTGCGCCTCGCTTCTCGAATCCATGGGCATTTCTAATCTATCTACCACCAAGATTGGTAATCTTGGCACCTATTCCGTCAAGATCTCGAGCCTTTATTTCTCTGTCTTTTCTCAGCTTCGAAAGAAGTCCGATCGATCCAAAGACGAGAATAAGCATCTCCTTCAAGCTTTGAATCGATCGATTGATGTCATTAGAAACTGTACGGAGGCCGAGCAAGAGAAAGCACAGCTATCGACAAAACTAGAAATATTCGCAGACATGTGCAAGAGCTCTGGCAGGACTGACGATGCCGTACGCACGTTACGAGCAATTTGCTCCAATATGGCTGAGAACGGCGCATTATCTGACGTTGCTACCGCTCTCTCCACTCAGTCTCCAACTCTGGCGTGGGCTATGAACGACAAAGTCTCACTCATGTCACGCAGCTTGCGTTCTTTGGCTAGAATCGACAAAGCGTGGAACGAGTGGACCTTTCCGCTTCCTGAGGCAGAGCGTGCCGCGGTTCTCGAGCATTTGACGTATGTCAGTGTCATTAGTTCATCCTCATCACTCCAATCACTAGGCCTGCACGACGCAGCAGTGGCCGCGTTGCTTCGTATGTACTCGTTGGAGAAATACCCGGTTCGCCGCCTCCGTGTGCTGCTGAATCTTTACTACCAAAGCGTGGGGGAAGAAGAGCAGCTACTGAATATCGTCTCGCTTGCTGAAGAAACGTGGGGACATCTAGAAGCCGGGGCCAGGGCGGAAGATGCCTCGTTATCTCATTTTATCCCGCACTTACAAGCATATTTTACCTCCATCTTTGCATTGACGCACACGGGTGGAACGATGTCGACGATGATTTTTCAGGCAATCGACTCTTGGAAAAGCATCATCAGAACCTGTCAGACGCAAGACCAGCTTTGCATGGTAATTGACGATCCCCAAAGACTTCTCGATCATCTGAGATCACTACACCAGCTTGCGGGCCTAAGGGGAGTGACACGTCTCCAACTCGCAATTTCTGAGCTTAGTATCGCCATATCGACGGTATTTGTTGGATCTGCGGAAGCTACCGGTGATGGCTTGATCCTTGGTCACAGCCAACTAGCAGCGCACTACGTCAACGTTGGACTCTTCCCTCAAGCTCTAAAGACAATAGAACAGACCCAAGAGCTCCTCACCCGCTACGATGGCTTATCCCGTCAAGTTCTTGTCGAATTCTACCTCTCCCAGGCCGAGTATTGTACGGGCGTTGGCAACATGAACGCTGCGTGAGTATTCCAAGTCGCTGTAAACCCCTGTTGTAGTGAGTGAAAGAAGAGCTAATGCTGTATAGTCTCGATTCGTTATCCAAAGCCGGTGATATTTGCAACGCCCCATATTCCTCTTGGGCTCCAAGCAAAGCTCATGCATCCATGATAATGTCCATCACCTTACTGCTTCAGTCCATTGCCACTCTTCAAAGTGGAGCTATTCAAGACGCCCTGTCTTCTGTGAAGATGAGTGTTCGCATGCTTACTCACGATTGGACCAAACTAGAAGCAGCGCTAGGAGCCGATTCGAAGAGCCCAGATGCCAGCGTATCGGATTTCAACGCCAGCAGCACAGATTTGGCTTCGACGAAAGGAAAAGTAACTGGCCCTCGATTCTGGACTTTAGCCAGTCCACTTCTTCGAAGCCTCTTACATATCTCTTCTGTATACGCTCATATTGGAATGTACCAGGAAACTATCTATTATGCCGACTGTGCCTGGAAAATTGCGGAGAGTACTCAGTCTTCGCTCTACATAGCACAAGTGGCTGCATGGACTGGCTCTATTTATTTAAAGGCCGGAAAGCTGCCTAAAGCACTTGCTACCTTCAAAGATGCAGAAGAACAGCTGCCGCGCGATACCTGTTCTGCTCGTGTTCGCTTTGCTCGTCAACTCGGAGAGTTTTATTGGGAAATCGGAGACGATGAGAAAGCTGCCGAATTTTTGAAAATAGCTGAGGAGACTGCCCATCTCCTCAGCATGCCCCAGGATGAAACCAGCGCCGAGTCTGTTCAAGTTCAAAAATCTTCTTCAGTTCAAAAACCCATTGAGAAGCCACAGAGTGCCGAATTCATCAAAGTTACGAAAGCAAAGAGAACAACGAGGTCAAAGGCCAAAGTACCAGCCGCCCCCAAACCCGCAAAGCGAGACTCGCCCAGGTCTAAGACACTTGTCGCAGGAGATATCGCTCAACTACCCAGGGATATATACTATGCATCCCTACACGCTGCCATCATCATGTCTCGTACTTTAGGACTCATTTACCAGAAAGAGTGGGCATCGGCTCTACAGGCTCTAGAGAAGGTCAAAGATTTGCCCAAGCTTGTCAGCGTACTCTCTCAGGAGCAAGTAATGACGGCCGTATCATTAATTGGATGCAGCATGGAGCAGATGATTTCCGATCCTGTCTTCTCTGTAATGCAAGACTCAACTATTTCTTTCCCTGCTGTCTCTCCTTCCGTGGCTCTATCCGCTCAATTGTCAGATATGCAGCTATCGATGAAAAATGAGCTTGCTGCAGAAGAGACTCGGAAGAATATTGACTATCCTGCATTTGCAGACGCATTAGAGCGAGCACAAGCGCTTCTCGTAGAAGCTCACGCTTCTGCTCTGTCCAATGCCGATAGTAGCATAGTTCGTCGTATCTCCACGCTGCTTCAAAGCACAGTCATTTTCTTGTCGGCAACATTGGCTTCAAAGTCTCTTCCACAAACAGGGCTGGGTACGATTGCTGTAGATATGGCTCGGAACGTGACGTGGCAGCGAGAGCAGCAGACTATGGCCGGGCTCAATAACGACACAGCCCCTATTCGTATCGCAGTTCCAGTTGCCAAGCTGCCGACAGTAGAAGCTGTGGCTGATATGGCCAACTTTCAGGAGAAATATGTGGATTTGATCCCAGAGAAGTGGAGTGTTGTCTCCATTTCACTGAGTGATAACCATCATGACTTGTGCATCACCAAATTCCAAGCGAACCAAGGACCGTTTGTTTTGCGTCTTCCATTGGAAAGAGCCAACTCTCGAGATGCCGACTCCGAAGTTTTCAACTTTAAAAACGGCCGTGAAGAATTATTGGAATTAATCAAACTGGCAAATGAAAGCAGTCACTCTGCACGAGACTTTACAGCCAAAGGAGAGCGTGGAGCTTGGTGGGCAGAGCGAGAGGCTTTGGACTCTCGATTGAAGCGGCTCCTGATGACTATCGAAGCTACGTGGCTGGGAGGATTCAAGGGCATTTTTTCGCAGCACTGCAAGCGGATGGATCTGTTGGCTCGCTTTAAGAAGGACTTTCACCTAATGCTTGACAGAATTCTGCCGTCTCGAAAAAGCCGAGGGAAGAAGACGGCGACCAAGACGGAGGCTATTACTTTGGATCCTCGGATTCTCGATCTCTTCATTGGACTGGGCAACCCAATTGATCCTGACTGCGAGTTTGATGAGGCGCTTAATGATTTGCTTTACTTTGTTGTGGATATTCTGCAGTTCCACGGCGAACGGAACGCATACGATGAGATCGACTTTGACGGAATGGTCCTAGAGACCTACGATGCTCTGCGTGCGTATCACAACGCTGCTGGTTCCTCGGAGAGGGAGGAAGGGACACATACCATACTCGTACTCGATAAACTCCTTCACGCTTTCCCGTGGGAGTCTTTGCCTTGCATGGACGGTCTGTCTGTATCTCGAGTGCCTTCGCTCGCATGCCTTCGGCAACTCATTCAGGATGCTGGGACAAGTCCGGCAAAGGAACTACAAGGCCACTTTGTTTCCGCCAAAGCTGGTACCTACGTCCTTAATCCTTCGTCTGACCTGAAGAATACGCAGACATTCTTCCAGTCAGCTTTTACAACTCTCTCATCGTGGAACGGTATCATCAATAAAGCGCCAAAGGAATCTGAATTCGAAAAGGCCCTTTCGACATCCGAGATTATGGTGTACTTTGGTCACGGGAGCGGTGCCCAGTATATTCGCGGAAAGACGATTCGACGGCTGGAAAAGTGCAGGCCAGCAACGTTCCTCATGGGCTGTAGCTCCGCTGCCCTCACCGACGCTGGAGAATTTGAATGCTACGGCCCAGTTTGGAACTATATGATGTCCGGTTGTCCCGCCGTGGTTGGTACGCTCTGGGACGTGACAGATCGTGACATCGATCGTTTTGCAGGCAGGACTTTTGAGGAATGGGGCCTCTTTGCCAGAGGCACATTTGATGGCGCCACGAGCAAGGGCAAAGGCAAGGCTAAGAGTCGTGATGAAGAAGACGATGAAATGAGCCTCCCTGGATGCGATGGCGCTCCTCCAGGCGATGCTTCCCTTGCCGAAGCGGTAGCAGGGGCGAGAAGTGCATGTCGTTTCAAGTATCTTAATGGTGCGGCGGTAGTGTTTTATGGAATTCCGGTTTACATCAAGAAAGAATGAACTGAGATTTGGGTACACGACATGGCAAGGACAAATCAAAAGGGATGGGAATGAGATAATGACATTAATGATGAACAAAAGTGAGACTTGCATAGCCTAGGCCACTACCACTGAAGCGTTCTTTTTCTGGATAATGGATGTATATAAAAGAACGGTGGGCAATAGGGTATTTGGATGGCGCTGCTATTTTTGCCTTTTTTTTTTTTTTTTTTTTCCTTTCTTTCTTTCAAGGGCATAGCGAGAGGCGTATTGGCTTGAAAAGAGATGTGTATTGGAAAAGAATTATGTTCTAATTCGTATTATTACCAGAGACATACGGACGACGAAGACTTTATGATAAAGACGAGGTCATTTTCTGTTTTATACCCGCAGCGATATGTTATTGGTTATCCTATACGAGCACTTATTTTTATACACACATATCGACTGTGAAAACTGAAACCCTTTAAAAACGAAAGAATGAAAAGATCTAGTAATTCACGCCATCCTTTTGTTGTTCTGTATTTTTACATCGAATCTACTCTAGATAGAAAAAAGAATCATGAGCATCATTGCCATGAGATTTGAAATTCACTGATAATATTTAAATTCATTAAAAGTACTAAAAGATTAATAGTAATACAATGCTCACCAACAAAAGACAAGATAATTAGTGGCCAGTCGTGTACATGCCCATTCAGATAAAACACACCCATAATACAAGTAGAAGCATCAACATATTAACAGAAAAGCGGTCGCGTAGCTCGAGAAGAGAAAAAAAAAATCAGTAAAGAAGAAAATAGAAACATGTCATTCAGTTGTCGTTCATCCCAAGAATCGCTATTTTTTTCTCCACAAGATATACTAAAAAGAAGATGAACAAAAAAAAAAAAGCATAAAAAAATCAACGCAACATATTTACTAGACATCCAAATCAACAGGTGTCCGCCGGTCCTTCCACCAAACGACCAAGTTGTGTTCCCTGGGTATAATATATAGATATATGTCCGTTTGAAAACAAAGAAAGATATCCAAATATCCACCCTTTCCGAAGCGCCAGTTTTCCCTTGAAATGCTTATTGTTTTTTTTTCTTCTTCTCATCATTTGACATTATGATAAGAGATACTGACAGTATGCAATTAGTAGTTGCTGCTGTCTTGTAGTTGTTAGATAGAATATGTAATACGTCAAAGGGAGGTCTGCATCATTCAAAGATCGTTGACGCAACTCCCAGTCGTTATCATCGCAGTTTGCTGCTGCCTCTAGTGGCATCTTCGCATCGTTCAAACAATCATCAAACGACTGGCCACCGAGTATAAACCTGTGACTTATACTGAGCATCAGACGGTGGTGAGCTACATGCCACCTTGGTGATCAGCCATGAGCATTCCTCCATTGCTGCCGAACAGGGCCGCAAAAGGATCAACGCTTCCAAATCCCATATCTTGGCCTCCACCTAGATTCATAAACCATCCTGGAGACGCGTCTTGATTCAGATACGGGGTCAAACCAGTACCACTGTGGCTTTGGTCCATCTGACCCTGGGCGTGAGCATGTTCGCCGCTCATGCCGTCCATCTTCATGCTTTGTTGGCCGTGGATCTGCGCATTAGCCGCTGCGGTGTTCCCAGGCATATTTCCCCAGCTCGCGGATCCATTCATCATACTCTGCAGGCCGTCTACACTCCCAGACTCCATTGAAAAGTCGCCATAGTTGGACTGCATCATTGTATCTGGCGGCTCAATATCCATAGACAGCATATCCGTCGAGAAAAAGTTCGAAAACGGCATGCTCTGAGGAAATTGTGCGGCGTTGGCAGGGCTGATTGGCGAAATGAGAGGGTATGCTGGATTTTGTGGCTGTGATACGGTAAGGGGATTGAAGGTAGACGGGTTGGTGGTTTGGACTCCAAGCGTGTCCGCGAACCTGGGCGGCTGCCGAGCCTGCTGCTGCTGCATAGCCAATCTCATCTGCTCGTGGAGATGCTGCTCACTTGCCGCCGCCGTCGTATGCTGTTCGCCAGACTTTTGCTGGTCTGCGTTGTTTGCTATCGCGACGGCTGTCCTCTTCAAGGGGGCTTTGCGCTTGGACGCACCGGCTCGTGGCCCTTCCTTATCGTTCTGCATGGGTCCAACCGTCATGAAGAAATCTTCAATTGACTGCAGCTCAGACTTCTGCTCCAAGGCGCCATCTTCGCCCTTCTCTTTCTTCCTGTACATGGCGGGGTCCATGTAGTCTGTGTCCGAAACTCCATGGGGGTAACGGTTGAACCAATCGGAATACTGCAGAATTGGCGATGATGCCGTGCTGCCATTGGTAGGACCACCGGTGCGGGACCTTTCAAGGGCGTTTCGAAACTGAATGCGGATGTTCTCTACCATCCAGTGGAACATGCCCCAGTACTTCATCATGTTACGCAGAAATCTTACATTTACACTGGAATTTACCTCAGCTGTGGCTTTCATCGCCGGGTTGCCAGAGAAGATACCAGTGATGTGGATGGCAGCTGAAGAAAAGGCGCAGTACCCGGCAAATGGAGTTGATATACTGCACTGTACCTCTTCAGCGTCCCTGAGAAGATCGGATATTTTGTTAGCGGCCAAGAAAGTCTTCATGTTGGCCTGGACAATGAAATCGTTGGGTGCCTCTTCGCCGATACGGTCTCGAGAGAAAGAGACTGCGGCTTGATGGAGGAAGAGCAGATTCTGTTGGATAGCCATGTGCAGGAAAAGGAGATGTCTTGCGGTACTTTCGGCTCGGTGAATCTCTAGAGCCTCGCGAGTAGATTTGAGGGAATCTGGGAGAGAACGCAGTAGCTCTTCTGTATCTCGCACCAGTTGGGCATACTGGGAGTTCTTGTCCCACATTGGATATGCATCCTGTTCTCTTCCACCCTGGTTCAGGTAGGTAACGACACGACCCCAAATGGATATTGAGCGGATAGTATAAGCTGCTGCTCCCATGTTGTCGCGCGGCAAAACTCCCGTTTGACCTTGGTCGCTTAGCTCACTATTCGGAACGGTGCCGTCGAGGTATTCCGTCTGTGCTGGCATGTCAAATTGAAAATGTCTCTCCGCAACGGGCAGAGGTATTTTGAGAGTGTCTTCTTTGATGAACAGAGGCCGGTCTGTTCCGGAGGAGTTGAAGCGGTCCATCATAAAACAAGCCCACATAACGCGGCGACGAATTTCGCGATCGATAAAACTCAACTTGATCTTCCTATTTCGCATCTGGGGATCATATTCCAAATCTTTATGCAAGTGGAGAGCAAAAGCCATACGAATGGCCTGTCCACCCAGAGCCCAGGCACGGCCGCCATGGCACGTTCCAAACTCATGCATCCCCAAGATGAGGAGACAAGTCAATATCGTTATGTTTGGCCAGTCATATCGTTTGGTGCAAATTTCTCTGGCGTGAGAGGCCCACTCCTCTCCACGCATAAACTGTTTGATTGAAGAGTTGTTGAACTTTGGGTTCGACGTAAAGCGTGCTGCGATGGCGCAAACAGAGAGAACAAGCACCGGCGGTAGCGTATCATTTCTAAAATTTGCCATTAGTAGCTGTATTGGTAGAGTTCAATGAAATGGGTATGTGGGTAGGGCACTAGGAAGGAAAGGCGACGTGCTTCATTCCCCGTGGAAAAATGGTCGTACTTTAGTTTGCGAATGTAGCTCGGTTTATGGAGGAGATGATATGATTGACCGTAGACATTGTCAAAAAAGACCTCGGTGAGGTGCTCTTGAACATCCTTGGGAGGAAGAGCATCCCTTCCCTCGCGCAGCAGCTCGTTTTCTTCTGCCTCGCGAGATTCTGGTGAGCCGGCCTGATCTTCCGGTAACTTTGGTCTGGGAGCCTTGGCCCATGCTTCAAGATCCCGGCCAAAGGCTTCGTCAGCATTGCGCTTCTTGGTGATTGTCTTACTTGACGTCATTGTTCCAGTTCCTGGTATGGCAGGCTTGACAATCGCGCGGGGGACCGAGGACAACGAATCCTGGTCAGACTTTGGGAGTATCTTGATGATGCGTTCCTCCATACGCTTCAGTCGCTTGTCGAGCATGGCCATATAATCGGTGCGCGGGGCGGCTTTTCGGGTCGTGACTTTGTAAACACACGGGATGCGTGACCTCATGCAGTGTTTGCAGGCAGGCTTTTCTCCAGAGCAGCGTATCTTTTTGCGACGACATGCGATACAGGCAAGCGGCAGTCGTTTCCGGTCCTTGCCAGCCTTGGTCTTGAGCTCACTCCAGGCAGGGGGAGCCGACGCAGAGTCGTCCTTGGACTTGCCTCCCAAGTCTGTGCCATCGCCACGATTCTGATTCATGTGGCCGAAATCGTCTGCATTCCCATCATCGGTGATGGAGTTGGACGCCGGAGTCGATATCCTGGCCATTGAGCTGTTGGTTAGTTCCAGATTCGGCGTCGGCGGGTCAAGAATGGGCACGAAGGACTGCCGTGTCATGTTGTTCATGGCACTCATGCTATGTGATGGCGGAATGGAGGAAATGGTGCCGGCCTGGTGCTGCGAGAAGGGGTCGGTCTGGTGGGCGAGAACGGCTTGGTCGGGCAGGGCGGAGAAGGGAAAGTTAAAGTCGCTGAAGTGAGGGTTGCCACCCAGCATCTCATCTGAAGGTACTTCGCCCTGCCCACCGCCAGGAGCAGGCTCGCGCTGCGGATATAGCTGGGACGCGGAATCGAAGCTCTGGCGGTGGGCGTTGCGAAACTGACGGTTCATGCCGCCCCGGCCGTCCGACATGGCTGGAATCCGGACTACAGGCCAAGGAGACTAAGCGGCTGTCAATGCTTGGGAATGGGAGAATACGGCGGCTCGTCAGGCCGATTGCTGGTCATTTCACGGCTCTTGATACTCGTTAAAATTAGCAGTGCCGTGCTTCGTCAAGGCCGCGTCGGAGAAGAGGAGAGGGCTGATTCCGCTGAGAAGCTGCAAGAACACACAGCTGAGACACTGGGCTGCTGGAAGTTCAAAGTGCGATTGATTCCCAGCAGCCAGAGTAGAAATCTG